AATGCTTGATGACATGGGGAATTTTTTGCTATTTAATTATCAGCGTTTGCTGAATTTTTTTTTCTGAACCACAAAATGTTTTTTACAGGGAGCTATTTAGAGGAATGACTGTAATAGCTACTTTCGTGAACCAGAGGTGGAAACTCCAAGAAAGTCATACTTGAGTCATGAAACCATAGCTCGAAATGTTCAAATGTTAAGTTGAACTAATCGGTCAGTATTCACTATTTATCTATACTTTACAAGGTAACTTGCCTATTGAGTCAAGCAATATATTGCCACAGCAGTCATTCTTGTTTTTTTTTTTTTTTTAAACCACAAAATCATACTGATAGTTTTTTCGAGGCATTGGTGCTAAAATTTTAAAATTGTTAAACACTTTTATCGATTATTGTCTTTTTATGATTTACTACAATTAAGACTACATGTTGATGTCTGCAAATGTAAGAGTTTTAGAATATATATTAGACATGCAGCTGCAGCCTTTCTATGCAGATATTCCAATGCTAAATTCTTTTATTATGAAAAAAACAACAACACACGTCTGCAAATACAAGCTCCCCACTGAATCTTACTAAAAAAAACAACATAGAAACATAGAATGTGACGGCAGATAAGAACCATTTGGCCCATCTAGTCTGCTCAATACTCTCATTAGTCCCTCCTGGCCTTATCTTATAGTTAAGATAGGCTTATGCCTATCCCACGCATGCTTAAACTCTTTCACTGTGTTAACCTCTACCACTTCAGCTGGATGGCTATTCCATGCATCCACTACCCTCTCAGTACTGTATCAGGAAAGAAACTCTGTTTGCAAATCTCACTCTTAGTGAACACTCATGCTAAAAGTTTAACCCTGTTCTACCAATATTTATTTTCATCATTCAGCAATCAGGAACTCATTCTTTATCTAAGATCCCATTGTACAGCACTATGGAATTTACTGGCGCTATATAAATAATAAAATAATAATAATATAAGAAATTTATAATAACCACGTATTAATATGCCACTTATAAATTATTATATCCTTTTATAGTTCAATATTGACATAAAATGCAAGGATATCACATGCATTAAATTTGATTCGACACACATTTCTTTGGACACATTTCCTTAATTATTAACTGTTGTTTTTCTCACTGGTATTTTAATAAATATTAATATCTTCAAAACTACAATTACAGGTTCAGACACTCTGATGACAGGGTACTGGAGACAAGAGATTTAATCATTTGGCCCATACGTATCTACCTGAGAGAAAAAAAATATATGTTTTATACTGGAGATGTTTCTATTACGGAGCTGATTTATCAAGCAAAAGACAGTTTTGTTTGAGACACTTTGATAAATGAATGCTTTAGTATAACAGAAAGTCTGAAGAGATTTTCTGATGGTCTGGCAAAAACCTGGCTTGTTGATTAACGTTTCTGTCAAACATAATTCTATTTTTACATCGCAAATGTTATTTGTACAAGGTACAGCAGAAAGTAAACAATGATAGACCTTCCACTTTCAACATGCATCAACAAACTGATATGTAAAATAATTAGACTAGACAGAAAGGCAATCGGGAGCTCGAAGGAAGGCCATGGATCAAATTTTACATCTGGTAGGAAAATATCTGTTAGATCGACAAAGCATTGTTTGTTTACTGTGAGAGAAGCACACAAGAAAGTTGCCATGTTGGGTAGTCATTAGCACTAACTTTATTGGATCTTTGCACTAGATTCTTGAACCATTTTAACATTTTGTCTATTGCTTTAGTTGCCAATCTTGGCCATTCTAGATGCTGTGCTGTACATCTCCCATGATGCCCTCAGAGTGGTGGAAAATTTAAAAAAGGGAGGAATCACCAATGGAATGTTCCTACTGGTTTCCATAGTGATTGCCCCCCTTCAGTAATTTAGACCACTTTTTATAGCAGAACAAAAATATGAGTATGTTGTGATTGGAAGGGCTGTAGTCTATGTTACATATTAGCTGGACGGAAGATTAATTATGCATACTGAAAGTCAGTCTATATTTAAAGGAACCTCATGCTTGCGTGTCCCTTTGTTCTGATCTTAAAGTCTTAATTATTTCTACTCTTACGGGAACTGCATTGATCTTTGTAAGACCTGACAGGGTTCTTCTCTATACTCCAAACTGTAGTGAATTGAAATCTGTAGGCTACAATTTCAGCCATAATCGCCTATATGGAAAAATCTATAATTCTGCTATAACAACAACTTAGTTAGAAGTCAAATGTTAGTAAATAACGCAATCAGGGCTATTTACTAAAGTCAGGAAGTCAAAGTGAATTTCAAAGTTAAAGTCACACTAGCTGAATTGGTTCAGCTAACCCTGAATGATTAAAGGCTTTTAAACTCACCATTAATTTTTCCCAAAGTATACTTTTTAGTTTCTTAATTTTTTTTTTTTCTTTAAAACGGCATCATTGATGATTAGCACCATACATTTAGATACAGTTTTGCACACAGTGATCCTAAAGGATTTGTATCAAATCTTAACTGACTCTTCTATTTTTACAGAAAAGCTTTTTATAACTTTTTAAAGAAACTTAAAATGAAAGTAAAGAGGCCCTCTTCTTATCTTAACTTCTGATGGCACATAGTTTATTGTCTGTTATTTAGGGTTACCTTTAGGAGTAGTTTTATATATCCATAGTTTAACCAGTGCTCTGATTATAATGGATTGTGATACATTGGTAGAATATCAGATGGTAGAAACAGCAGTAATGAAGAAAGGAACATTTATTTGTCTCTACCTTATCCTCAAATATTTATATGGAATATTTACAAGCATAGTTATTGCATATAGAAATATAATTGGAAAATAATCTATAACGGGATTAAATACTAAGTGTATGTCTTATTTAACTTTTAGCTTCCCTTTATGAGACCTGGTCTAATGTAAAACATATACCTGTGGAAACAAGATAAGTAGACACAAGGTTTCTACAAATATTTCCTGTTTAACCCCTTAAGGACATATGACATGTGTGACATGTCATGATTCCCTTTTATTCCAGAAGTTTGGTCCTTAAAGGGTTAAGATTCTAAGCCAAACAAAAACGGTCACATGACTTCACTGTTACAGCACACCCATGTCATTGTATTGTCTCAGTGTTAATGTGGCTAATATCAGAGTGTATATGTTATTTAAAAGTGATAACGTTTTCTCTGTACTTAATAATGCCGTAGAGGCAGAAAATATATCCTTTAATTAAATCGGGCCTGTGTTCCATTTCCTAAATTGCACATTTGCACAAAGATCCCAGTGATGAAAAAAAAATAAATAGAAATATATATATATATATATAAACCACATACCTGAGCAGGCTTCCTCTTAAGCATGAACGAAGAAGGTACGCACACATGTTCAGTACAAGGATACCACTAACTTCCTTTGTTTCCTGCCACATCTGAACGATCTACTTAGGGCTTCACTGGGGTCTTTCAATTTAACAGAAAGTTTTGATAAAAACAAACCATCCAAAATGAGTTGTAACACCCAGTCCTGTTGACTCCTGTGAGACGTTTTGAGAAGCCAGCAGCAAAGTGACGAAGACCCTTTTATAAATCTGATGAAGGTGACTCATACTCCAGCTTATACTTTCTGTAATTTCCGCCCTATCTCAAAAATTTTTTTCTCGTAAGCAATACAAACTTAAACTTACTTTCATTTTGCATAACTCATAATAAAAAAATTCCAAGTTGGGATATTTAAATCATTTGTTTGTTGCTTTTAACATATTTTCCCCAATTATTATGGGTATTTTTTAGGGTTTTTTTCATTTATATGCCAGGAATCCCACTGATTGTATGAATAAGTAATAGAGTACTCTAGGGGGAATTAGAATTGATTTCGATTAGAAAATCCCCTTATAACAACTAATATCCATGTTTTGTTTTTTGTAGGCATTCACTGTATATGGGGATATCCTAGATGTTTTAATGATACAATAATTTCATATTAACTGTTTATATGTCAAATTCACATAAATTTCTGAAATGTCTTTACATTTTATAAGCTAACTGCTAAAACATTAAAAGTTAAAACAATACTTGGCTTTTGTGTCTCCATTTTTAAAAACATATTTTAATAAAAACATACATGTATTAAATCTTATCAATTTACTTAAGCCTCTGTTCACCTGAAACGTATGTCTTTTTGTATAATTTTTTCCCCAATATTTTTTTAATCTGACAATTTAAGCTTTAATGGCTGTATGACAGGAGTCCTTCAACTGTTTAAAGATATTTAGAAATCTTAGAATTTTATATTTAGAATTTCTAGAATTTTATATTTTTGTGAATTGTACATAAACTAGGATGAATCGTGCTAGATATCTATACAGTAAAAATGTCCATGCCCCTTTTCCAATATTAAAGATAGTCCTTCTTAATAACAACTACATTTCTCTTTTACAAATAGACAATCATTAGTAATGTCCATATCGAAGCCAGGAAGAATAGACTTGTTAATTATAAGGCAGGATAATGTTTATGTATTTGTGGACCCAGGACATACTTGAAAATGAGAGAAATCTCAATGTATCTTTCCTGGTAAAATATTTTATAAATACATAAATAAATAATATATCCTCCAGTGGAAGGTGTGCCCTTGATATGCCCTGGCTGAACTGGATTTTGGCGTCAATTGCTAAAAAATGGAGCATCACATGAAAAATATGGTTAACACAAATTATAGGTGATTTTTGATGTTTTACTGGTGTAATTTCCAGAAAGTTGACAATTCTTGTTTGTCATACCCCACTACAAAAATGACACAGGAATTGGGGGTTACCCTGCTCAGGTCACTGTTGAGCATGGGAAAGGGATTGCAGACACAGATGTAAGTCTCCTAATACCTCCATCTATTCCTTTTAGTTGCCTGCCCACTGGCAAATCTGTAGTGCCAGTAAATCTTTTTTTTCTTTAAGTCCTCTTGAAGTGGATTGGTTTTTAAGTATTGCTCCTTGATAGAAGCCTCAAAGAGCTAGGTGTAATGATATGATATGATCCAATATGATGTTAGCTGACTTTTGCTTTAAAGTTGAATTAAGTTAGCATTTACCCACATAAATGATTGGAACACATTCCATGTTTCTTTATTGACTTTTCTTTAGAAGTATTAAGGTAACTCGGTATCACACACTGTATTCTTAGAAGAGAGGCTCAGCATTTGTTTAAACAAAATGTACTAAACTGACTGAGAATAAAATTAACGTTTTTGATGTGGCTTATTACCAAAACTTGCTAACCATCTATTTTCATTTTAACTAACTGGATGCCTTTGGGACAATAACATCTTCCTTGTTTTACTCATCAAGGGGATAACCCCAGCTACGTGATATTTACCAGGGAAGTCCCCACACTAAATTTTCTTAAATGTCAAATCATCTTATCTTTAAGTTTTCTAATGTTTAAAATTGTTTTTGACTTGCTGGATTTCTGTGAATTGAATAGTCAATATAATTGCCTTCTTTAACCCTTTGTGTACTGAGTATTTGATGCAGCTACACATGGCAGTGTAGTTGCTTTGACCACCTTTCGTGGTGGGAACACTAGCTTTCTGCAGCTTACAGAATACTTGTTATGCATGACAGAGACATATCCCTACCGCAAGGTGTCAGTTTTGACGTGGTACCCTAAACTTGTATGAACCCTTATACTGAATTTGGATTTTATAAATCTGCCATCATTATTGACACGGCTCAAAGTGTTCGTATAGATCTTGAAGATTTTAATCTTTCCTGGATCACTATTGACGTGACTCAGAGCATCCATATTAATTCTAATGATTGCTCTCATCTTTCTGGCATCAATCAGGATGTGAAGCCTACTCCACATTTCTTTTGGACCTTTTGGTGCATGTGAATGATGCAAACCAATTTTACATCCTACCTATATTTAAACCCATTCTACCCATATTTAAACCTGCTACGTGCCCTAATGTTGTTCTTGCTGACCCAATAGCATGTTTCTTGAAGTGTTCTGATTTTGTGGTTTGACCTTGGCTTATTTATCCATTAATCCTGATCTCTGTACTCCAAAAGATTGGCTTGATTATTTATGTTGTCCTGTCTTCTACTGTCCTTGACATTGGCTTGTACTCTGACTATCCTTACTGTTTAGTCTGGCCACTCTATGGACTGGCAATATGGGCTATTTCTGATGTTTGTTCCTACTTTTGTTTTTGTGTGTTTTTGTAATCACCTGGACAAACTGTGATCTTAAAGGGATCCTATAGTGCCAGGATAAAAAAACCTGTTGAGTCTATAGGCTCTTGGAGAGCCCCCCTTCCTCAGGGCCACCCTCCCTCGGCGCTGGAGGGGTTAAAACCCCTTCAGCCACTTACCTTAAAACCCCTTCAGCCACTTTCCCTAATCCAGCGCCGCCCTTTCCTCCCCCGCCGACATCAGCTCCCGAGTGGAGCCTAATGCACATGCGCGGCCAAAGGCGCGCACATTCAAACCCGCCCATAGGAAAGCATTAATCAATGCTTTCCCATAGGAAAGCATTAATCAATGCTTTCCTATGGGGATCTTATTTGATGCTGTACTCCGCAAAGACGTCCAGCGTCAAATAAGTGTGATTTACTCAGTGTAAATCACAGAAGTGGCCTAACGATAGTAAAATCCTTACTTGTATTGAAGTCTGAAGCTGCTGCCTATGCCTGTGAACTTCCTCTGACCTCTGACATCATCAGAAGTGGTGGCCTGATCCAATCACAATGCTTCCCCATGGGATTGGCTGAGACTGACAAAGAGGCAGATCAGGGGCAGAGCCAGCACAATTCAAACACAGCCCTGGCCAATCAGCATCTCCTCATAGAGCTGAACTGAATCAATGAACCTCTATGAGAAAAGTTCAGTGTCTGCATGCAGAGGGAGGAGATACTGAATATTTGGATGCATTTTAGGCAGCCATGAGCCAGGAAGGATCTCTAACAGCTATCTGAAGAGTGGCCAGTGAAGTTATCACTAGGCTGTAATGTAAACACTGCATTTTCTCTGAAAAGACAGTGTTTACAGCAAAAACCCTGAAGGTAATGATTCTACTCACCAGAACAAATTCAATAAACTGTAGTTGTTCTGGTGACTATAGTGTCCCTTTATCTTGCAGAATGCTGGAAAATGTTTTTTGTATTACAGCAAATTATTAAAAAGCCTAAAACTAGTCATATATTAATGTCAGCTTTTGGGTCATCACATTCTCTGCCAGCAAAATAAAATAAAATAAAATTGCTACTGAAAACACAAGACAGCAACAATGAGAGCAACACCATTACCCCCCTCCCCTCCAAAACAAGTCTTACAAAAAGGCATAAAGATAGAATCTCTATGAAATAATTCGATTGAACGTGTTGGAATTTTACTGAAATTCCAAACCAGTCAAAATATATACTGAGATAAGTAGGAACTACTTTGTCAGTAATTTTTTCTCTGTCAAAACGTGACACCTGGCAGAGATACCACCTTCAGTCTTGTCATTAACCCCAGCAAGACCCTCCATAGACCTCAATGCTGTATTCTTGCACGTGTGTTCATAATGCTATAGTGTTCCTTTAAATGATCATCCTTCTGGTTATTGTGATTGAATTGTCCTTTTTCTGCCCTGTAATGCATGCACTATATTGCCAGTCTGTTTTAGACAGTGTAATTAGCACTGAGAATTAAATAAAAAATATATTTTATCCTTACATTAAGACCTATTTATGTTTCTTTGTGAATCATCTAAAGCCATAAAAATGTATTCTAAGTAGGTGCTCAGATTCAGAAAAGGGATTGTTTTACTATAAAACGTTTGTTTTACTATAAAATATTTAGAAGTTTTGGTTTACACATTGCTAAACCATTAAATTCCAAAAGGTTGAGAAATGTTTCTGTTCCCGAGAAACTCATTTCCCAACCATCAACCATTTTGCAAAAGGCTAAATAAAGAAAACACTTGTTGGGACTTTAAAGATCATTCTTTGTTAAAGTGTTCATGAGAAAGTATTAAAGGGACACTCCAGGCACCCAGACCACTTCTGCCCATTGGAGTGGCCTGGGTGCCAACTCCCACTACTCTTAACCCTGCAACTGTAAATATTGCAGTTTTTTATAAACTGCAATAATTACCTCGCAGGGTTAACTCCACCTCTAGTGGCTAGTGGCTGTCTACTAGACAGCCACTAGAGAACACTTCCTGGTTTCTAGCACAGACGCTGTGTGAGGACCTCCAGCGTCGTTCATGTCTCCATAGGAAAGCATTGAAATGCATTTTCAATGCTTTCCTATGGGGAGCTCTAATGCGCATTCGCGGCATTGCCGCGCATGCGCATTAGGTCTCCCCGTCCGGTGGGCGGGATCAGTCTCGCCCACCGGCCGACACAATCACAGGGAGGAGCGGCGGTGGAGGAAGAAGCAGCGACGTGGGACATCGTCGCTGCCTCTGGTTAGTCACTGAAGGGGTTTTCACCCCTTCAGCAATCGGGGATTGGTGGGTGGGAGGGATAGGGGACCTGCAGTGCCAGGAAAACGGATTGTTTTCCTGGCACTGGAGTTTCCCTTTAAGATGTATCATCTTAAAGGTGATAACAAAATAGATATTGAACTTTTGTTCTAATTTGGTTTTTAGAAATTTTATTGGAGCATTTACGAATGGAATCAAGATACTTTGGTATAAAATAATAATAATAATAATACTAATAAAACAAAACCACAAAAATTAAAATATATGGTAATCCTACACTGCACATTCAAAGTAATGTTGAACAAAGTTATGGACTGGGAGGTGATCAGTGGGAAGCAACTACACCATCCAAGCTGGCCACCAACATATCAAATAATCCCAAAGGCGATAAATAACGTACAACCATGTCCTCCTTTGCAGCCATGGACACACCAAATAACCTCAGTGCCAATCAGAAAGGTAATATGACATTAACAAAGTTCTGAACCAGGAGGGATCAGTGGTATAAACCTATAACTGTGAAGCAAGCAGTGGCTGTGCCCAATATCCACTTTTCCCCAGAAACTAACATTTTTAAAAAGGTAAGTATTAAAAGGACACTTCAGGCCCCTAAATTACTTCAGTTGACTGATTTCAATAGAAATTGGCACATTTATGAATAAACCTGGTTACACCCCCATGGGATTAAATCAGACAACCTGTCCTGTTACTTCCTGGAGATAAACTCAAGAGGCAATGGATTACTCAGAGCACGTGCCTTGCAAAGACTTTTCATTGAGCTATAATGGGGAGTCTGTGATTGGACAGCTATAGAAATTCTGGGCTGGATTAAAAGGGAATGGCTTGTAAAAGCTGCAGACAAGAGAACTGCAGCACTTGTAAGCTGGTTTTAGATATACTCCAAATGAAAAATGCATAACTAATTGTATGAATGTTTTAAATGGGGGTATGAAATATTTACTAAATAGTGTGTTCCTTTTATTTGAGAAGAAGTGTTACTTAAAGAATAAAATAAGTTCTTCTGTACTAAGAAAATAAGGTTGTAGGACTATTATATCTATCCAGTACAGGTAAAGGCAACCCAAGAAAGGTCCTGTTGAAGGAAATATCACATTTTTTAATTTGTCCCAATATCACATTTAAAAAGCTAAAACACAATATTTTTTACTTGTAATCGGAGTTAGCATACATCAGATAGAATGTCATAGTATGTGAGTGTACAAAAACTATTTCAGATACGTCAAACATAAGTAGAAAATACTGATCTTAAACACTGTGTAGATCATAGAGACTGTGATGGAGCCTCTCAACAGAACCAATTAGAAATATGTTGGAATTTGGTCACCTTGTATAATTCAAATAACTGATCACTCACATACACTCGATTAAGTTCTCTTTGCTAATTTCACATCTTGGGCTCTGGCTGTTTGGAAAAGACAACCTTGAAATTAACTACCTTACTCCCTCAATTAACAATTTGTTTATTTTCTCTCTCTTCTTTCTCTTCCTTTCCCCCCTTTGTATTCTCCTTCCCTACTTTCCTATTCCAATAGCACTTGTGTGCCCTCTTTGGGGACATTACTGGCCTCCTATTTTGTTCCCATATACATGTTCCTGCTTTTCTGCAGGCTGGATTTTCTCTTCCTCCCTCAATATATGTGTGGCCAGTGGGTGGAGATATTTAATTTAAAAAAAATTGATGGGGTATGCTTATATCCCACCTGCCCCCACTTGTGATCAGCTGGTGGCGGCTATTTTAATATTCACCCATTGGCAGCAGGTGAGGGCCCTATTGATTCAGACAACAATAATAAGAGCTCTCTGATTGACACTGTAATAAGCCAACCAATCAGAGGCTCTGATAGCAAGTCTCGCGAGAAGCACATAATTAACCCTTACGCTGCCAGTAAGCAAACAGTTTGGATATTTTGGGGTCTGGATATATTGGATAAAATCCAGTATTAACCCGGATTTGCAGCATTTGGCCTGGATTCCAGCTGCCCGGCTGTGTTTCAGTCTGGCTGAAATCCAGGAGCAAATCTAGGCCCATTCAGCACCGGAGTTACAAAATACGAATGTTGTTAAATTGCATGAACAATGTCCATATTTTGTAATCTGAATGGCCCCGTATACAACCAGATGGTTTTGCCCCATTTGTACAGAATAATCAAACTAATAACATAATTGGTAAATGTTTTTAATTTGGCTTTTATGGACTAAAATTTTTAAATTCTCTTTGAGTTCACATTGACTTCCCTACAATTTACACTGCAATGAATAACGCTGTACGTATCTAACAAAGATTAATGGTATGTTGTGTGTTATAATATATCAGATACCAAGCATTCATTCTAAATACATTGGTTATATTCATAGATTACAACTACAACTTTATATATTGTGACATCTTAAGGCATAAGAATGACAAAGATAAATTTAACAAAAACAGAAGAGGATAAAAAAGAGGCAAATAGAAATGAGACAAATTCGTAAAGAGAAGATGAGAGGCACAAGACTCTAAACGCTAAAGGCAGAAGATGTCTCTAAGAGACTGCGACAGTATAGGGTGAGGGAGAAACTGTAAAGAGGGGAGTGGGATTACAAAATACATAACAAAGGGGGAAATAAAAGGTAAAATAACAGGAGTGTCATATATTGAACACAAATTTGGAAAGAATGACTTTAAATGAGCAAAGGGGATAGTGAAAGAAACAACAGATTGGAGAAGTGTGTCATAATAACGGTGATATCGTGGGAAGAAACAGGCAAAATGGTGGGATCACAGGAGACAGAGATTGAAGAAAAAAGTTCAAATAATAGGTATTGTTTGTAGGTGGCCTTTTAGTTTAGTCTGTTTAAGTAGAGGAAATATTATTCTATCTCACTTCCCCCCTCCCAGATTGACATTGTATTGCGCTAAGCGAAGAGAGTACTTACAAGACACCCATAGCAAAAAGAAGACATGCCTCAAAGAAGAAGAGAGAGCTGTAAGCCATAATCATCGCACGTATGACAAATCACGACTTGAACTATCTTGCTTTGCATGTAATGCGTCTATCTCATATATTAGTTTCCCCTTTTATGTTGCATTACTGAAATAAATCAACTTTTGACCGATATTCTAATTTTTCGCGTATCACCTGTATGTAGTCATCTCCATCTCATTGCCTTGATGTCAGTATATTTCACCTAGGAGCTTACAATCTACCTTGCCTCCATTTCCCTGCCAGAAGATCTATTTCTATCATATTTTATTTCATTGTGTAAGCCAACCACTTATCTCTGGGTGATGTTTCAAAACTTCACATTGCCTTTCAAAGTTAAGTTACCCGCTATCTAATCAAAATAGACTTGATAGTTTTGCCAATCTTAGACACTAAATATGTCAGAGAATACCATTAACTGTATTATATGCATTTCACTCACACTTTTTGATTTATGTTGAGATAGTTTGTTTTGTTGCCAGCTTATGCCTCTAATTCTTCTTCCTTAAATAACTTTTGGTCAGTCTCACGTTGCTGGTCTTCTGGTCTAACATTGACCTTTGCTCTGCTACCCATGCACTGTGGTTTCCTTCCAACCATACTATCACTCTCTACAACTCCTCATACAAACGACTCAACCTGTGAAGTAAATTGAACATTTGTTAAATACTATATCGGGTCAAAGGAATCTCATTGTCAGAATTTGAGAATCATGTAAAGATCACAACTTGTAGTCTAGCTTAGAACTCTACATCTTTGTTTAAACCTGAATCAGCAAAATCAAGTTCACCCTCTCCATGCCTTGAAGATAATCACTAACGTATTTCGGATACGTCCATAATTTAAATATTTAAATGTATTGAACCTTCATTAAACATTTTCTGGAGTATTAAATTTTGGTGTTGTTTTAAATTATTTCAACTTTGTAATTGTTTTATACTTGTATTGATTTTATATATTTAAAGTTGAAATTAAAATGTTGCAATCCTCTGGATATCTATAAAGAGGAACTGCCTGGAAAGGTTAAATTTTATGAACCATACCATGTAATTATATGTAACTATATAAAAATTCAGTTTGTTAGCCCAAGGAGAAACATTATTGTTTAAAAGGGAACTGTAATTTTTCATGATATTCAACATTTTATTTACTTATATAAAATATCTAATAAATAAAAGTTTTTGAGGTCTGAAAAATTAAATTAAATTTAAAAATCCACAATTATTTATTTTCCTCTATTCTACAACTGCGAATGTCTCGTTTGTCTCTGTCAGTCATTGTTCTAAACAATTTCTGTCATTTAATATGTTAAAGAAGAGCAAAAAAAATAAAAAAGTAAAAAATAAAAACACCCTTTGCATCTATTAGTCAGCATAGAGAATTCTCCACAACATGCATAAAATATCTTATTAGAGATAGACATAATTAAAGGCCACAAGGGAGAATAGACATTTGAGGAGTAGAGACATAACATTTTCTGTTTCTCCCCTTTAAAGTAAAGCATACCCTGATGGTGCCAGGTCTGAGCTTCATTGTGATGTTCATTGCTGAATCTTACTATACATTTAACCCCTTAAGGACCAAACTGCTGGAATAAAAGGGAATCATGACATGTCACACATGTCATGTGTCCTTAAGGGGTTAACGAAAAGGAAATCTAGGAACAGGTTAAAGGTAATTTTCAATGATTTATGTAGCGGTAATATTTCCAGAGAAGTGACGGTTTCCCTTTAAGATTGTTATTCATTCTTGGATTTCTTGAGGACCAGTTGCTCTGAAAACCCCTAACGTTCTCAGTTACTACTGGTTTTGTTTATCATAATGTCCTGAGCTCTGTCACTGGAGGAATGCTGTATTGTTAAACGGATTCAGAGACCCATGTATGAAGTACTTGATTTAGGTTCTCGCTATAAACCCAAGTAAGAAACCCACAGATTATTTTTTGAAAGAAAAAAGTATATAAACGTATCTTTAGGCGTAACCATGGAAACAAGTTTTGCATGATGACAAACACTGCTCGGAGAACAGATTTTGAAAAAGTCTTTCACCAGATTGTTTTCGAAGATATCTTTTTTACATTGCTGTTTAGTTTCACTTATAAACCATTATTATACCAGACGTAATAGTTTGTTGCCATCATAATATACAGTATGTTACTAAGGGAACAGCAGAATAAGCAGTCACAATAAAACAAATCAATGTCTTTATGTGACTCACTTGGTACCAACGTACAGAATGTTTTATGTAACAAATTCAGATTCAAGAAACCGACACAAGATACCTTTTGATCAGTAAGGGCATTGCAGTAGTAAAGTCTTTTTGGAATTTTCTTCATTTGGCTTTGTTTTTTTTGTTTTTTTTGCTTGTTCCTTTAACACTTTCTCTCTTCCCTGTCTCTCTGTTTTTGTTTTTTTAATTATCACACTCTCCATTTTCTCATTCTTTTGTCTCTCCATGCCCAGATTTTCCATTAGGCCGAGTAGGCACCAGCCCTACATTTGCATGTCCTTTAGGGAGCCATACATAAAGTACTTATAAAGTGCCCTATTTGAGCTTAAGTGGACTGGTGGGGAGATATAAGTATCAGGAGCCTTGGCCTGTGTCTTCTGTAGAAAGTTTCAACTATGCTTGATAGCAGAGCTGCAGAAACAGTAATACAACTCAGTGCTGCCCCAGTTCCTCCAGTTTCTGTGTGTGAGACTGGACAGGAAATGGAAGGGATAATTTCCCATCTGCCAAATAACAGCCTGTTACACGGGAAGTTTTTTGCAGTAGGAGAAGGGGAAGCTCTAAGTGATGTACACTGTATATCATATGACAGCATTGAGTGATGCACACTCTATAAGAGATCATGTAGCTATATTATCAGTCATAAGAGGGTGAGTACTTTGCAAATAAGCCTTTAAACTATCCATGATTGTACCCTAAACAACCTTTCCCCATTAATCCTAAATGCATTCCATCCCAGAACTTAAACAAACCTTTTTCCTAGTCCCACATTTAAGCACTTAAAGCTTAAACTGGAACCCCCCATTAACTTCAATCATAAGTTTATCTTCTCTTAATAAAAAAAAAACACCTTGTGCACCCCAAAACTAAATAACGGTGACCCTAATTAAATAATCCTAAACACCCCTTCTATTCAAATACTAAATTTAACTTTACTCTAACCCTAAACCCAATAATTCTCAACACCCAAAACACAACTATAATCCATTAAAATGCTTTAAATACTTTTAACACTGAACACCCTATGTAATCTAACCTCTCTCTAACATTGAATCGGCTCTGTCACCTTGTGGGGTATTTGTAGTTTGCAAAGATCCCCAATGGGGACATCACCACAGGGAACTATATGTTTTACTCATCCTGTCCCTCATGGCTGCCACCATCTTTATCTAAGAGATCCTCTTTGGCTTCTGGCGCTATGTCTGACAGGAGCCAGAGTCAGTGCTATACTCTCCCAGTTGTGCAAGAGGGCAACACTGATCTCCTTGGAGAAAAATGACTTTTTCTGAAAAGCTGAGGGAATTGACAAAACTTGATTATGCTTAGTTAGAATCTTGATATTAAATGGCATACTCATATGCATATGTATTATGGGCTTGCTTGAAAAGATAAGATTTAATGGACTTCTTATTAAAGAAGAATTAAAGACTAGGTAGAGTCTGATGGGAGCAGCAGAAGGTATTCCAAAAAAATACTCCTGAGAATTCCTGTAAATGCAAATTATCGGTGTGGGTGCAAACAGAAGTAATGTGAAAACAATTGCCGGGATGCAGAGAGCGTGAAATGTTTAACCTATAAATTATTCAAGAAACGATAGTATCTTTAATTGATTCCTAAATGGTACAGGAGGCCAATATAGAAGCTTGACAATGGTATTCATTATGGACTGTAGAGAAGTAGTATGGGTAATGGAGAGAATGCAGGAACAGCTGGTCCTCTGAGTGGGAACATCTGTGTAGATAGCAGGTTAACTTACTATATCAAGGTTCAAATGTGACTACCTTGAGATATAGGTTCTGAAGAATGCTAGCTTGCTCGGGGCAGACTTGAAGCTAGAGTTATATAAAGAAAATATCCAGAGTAAGACAAGAGAAAGTAGAGACTGGTGAGAGCATTGAATGGAGGTCAGCAGAGAGTTGTTGAGGAAATTAAAATTTTTGCTAGGCTGGGGAAAGTAAGTCTGACAATGTTAGATGAGGGAAGTATTGAGAACAATTAACAATTAAGATCTGGTCATGTGAGAAGGGGTGTTATTAGGGATTAGAAGATGAGACAGCATTTGCATAGTTTAGGTCAATGCTGGCTACATGTGTAGGACAATTAGTTAATTGGGGAAGAGTCCGAAAGAGGGAATGGTAGAACGAGGTTTTGAGGCTACTGAGTGAGTAAGCTCCAGGTGAGTAAATTAGAATGTTGGAGCCCCATGGACCAAATAATTAACTAGGCTTTTTTTTCATTTTTGCTTAATTGGAGAACAGCTTGCCAGTATACATGATAATATTACAGACATCATATGAGAAAGATTAGCAAGAAAATAGCACAACATAAAAACCTTGGCATTTCATCAGCGGCTGACATTGCATTACAAAGTACAAAATAATAATTATTGTCAGATGAAGGTAAGTTTTGTTCTATTCTATAACAATTGCCATCTGTTTTTTGCTTGATTTCTATACATTTCCAAAATGTGCACATGTTCACATTTTATGTCTTCTGTTGTACAGTATGTAATTATAGAGAGGTATTATCCAGTTTCTTTATTATGCCTTAACAATATATTTTGTCATTTTGTCTTCAGGAAAACCTTATTGTAGCACATTGATAAGTTGTTTATTTTTTTTCTTCGGGTGAAACATCCAGTGACAGGCAATGAGGTCTGTGTTAGATTGAGCAGCTATTGATTTGAAATATTACTGATGATTCTAACTGTTTCCGTGCAGTAGTTTATGGGATATGCTCAGTATTCTCATTGAGAAGAATGGGAAAGCTCCCTCCGGAGTGTTTATTTTTTTCATGACTTGTATTTCCATTTATCCACATTTCAATTAATTGTATATATATATATATTAAATTGGGGTTAACTCCAGCCAGCAGTTAATTTAATAGATTAGTATGACAGAGTGCACTGGGAACTGCTGCCCTGTATGGCAGGGAGATCAGAAGATCTTTACCTTGGGCAAGGTAACCTGTGATCATCACCTTGGGCAGATACAGATCCCTTTAACCCCTTAAGGACACATGACATGTGTGACATGTCTTGATTCCCTTTTATTCCAGAAGCTTGGTCCTTAAGGGGTTAAATGCTCCCTCATAGTACCCGACAGAAAGAAGCAAATATAGTGACCGCACCAGCGGTAGGCGCAGACTACAAACTCTGCCCAGCAGACCACAGGGTGCAAGACACTGACCCCTTCAGAGCACCATGGAATAGGGGACATAGCTCCTATGTCCAAAGTTCAGGTGTGGTTGGAAAAACACATTTTGTAACACTTATTGTGTAACACAGTACACTCATAAAACCACACACAGTTGCACACATCCTTCAGATATACCTACACACAGCAACACACATCTGTCACAGCGACACACACACAGCACAAATATAACTTATAGCTATCTATACACACACCAACATACATCAGTTACAGTTAGCCACAGAGAGCAACACACATTTCTCACAGACATATCACTTACAGCTACCCATACATATCACACACAACTACCAAG